CAGCTAAAGAAAAACAAAAGCAAAAAGAAATGGAGAAGAAGGTGAAAAAGGTCGAAAAGAAAAAGCCTCAAGTGGCTCCTTCAAAACAGAAAGCTACTAAGATCACTCAGAAGGCTGCTCCTAGAGTTGGTGGAAAGCGTTAATGGATATATGACAAGCTAATTATTTTGTGGAATAAATTTTTCTTCATATTTCATGTGTTGGGTTATTAAAATTGATTATTGCCTTGAACCACAATATTCTTAGTACATGAATATGCTATTCGTTTGTGTTACCTATGTATCAAATGTTCATCTCGGTTGGTTTTTGTATGGTAATATTTCGCCTGTGTAGTCGATTTCAGTATCAAGCATATAGTAATCACTGATTGAAACTTGGAGGGAGTCTCAACGAACTATTAATTACATGTTACTGGATAAGGATTAATCCTTTCATGATCCCATTTTATCTGTCCGCAAACTTTCCAAGGAAGTTGTATTTCTCCCAATTCTAGTAGTAATTGACTGCAACCAATGTCGTGGAGGAAAGCTAGAATCTTGTTGTTCCGTCTACACTTGTTTGTAACCTCAATGTGGATGATTATTTTCATAATTTTATACTGATTTCGTGATAAATTTCAACTAGTTTTAAAGTTATACAGAAGCTCACCAATATGGTGCTATCTTGGTGTAACTCACCAATGCTATATCAAATTTACACTTATTCGTATTGAATATTCAGAAACGTTTTCCTCGTCATACAGCTAAATATTTCGGTGGTGGTGTGGAAATTATAGATATGTTCTTGACTTTTGAAGCTGATAAGCGAGATGTTTCACCATCTGTTTTATTTCAATAGATGCTCTCTTTAAGTGGGTTACTTTTTTACTCGGATGTGGCGAATCACATTCATGGCCGATTTCATGATGACCTGAAGGATTGTATTTGGCCGAGAAATAGCTCGACAGCTACTTGAAAATATTCCTTAGCAAGGACTGGAAGTAGCGGTATGGCCTCAAACAAAAATATGAGTAGCGCAAGTGCGATGGGGGTAAATGAAAAGCTTTGATGAGCGGAATTGACGTTAGAATTACTGATTGTTTCTCGCCTTGAGAAAACCACTGTTCAGAGAGTCGTTCAAAGTTGTTATTGGCCTACCATAGCCTCCCAAGCGATGATAAACCGAAAGCATGTCATCTTGAGTTAGCTGCCTGTGGTTGCGTTGACTTTACACCTAAGTTATCGGTCCTTATATTATTTTTGCAATATTTAGCCAAATACCAGGGTTTATTTGAAAACATTGAACTTATGATGGTAATGGAAGTCCTGAAGTTATCAGTGTATCTAATATTACTATTATCATCATACATGAACAACACAAGCTGTCGGTCGATTAAATAATGATACTTATCATGCCTGTGTCCTTTATTAAGTGACAATTGGTTCCGTTTTTTCTTTTGGTAGTAGGGTTTATTTGACAAGCTAACTTGGAAATTACGTATCAGGGTATGGGGTTGCACCGATTTAACCTGTTTTAAACTTAGTCCTAAGTGCTTATAAGTTTATGTTTCTCGGGTACCGATCCAATGTTCAGGATACTTAGTTGAATATCGTTCTTATTTTTCTTTTCTGACGAAGTGAAGATTCAGTACTGCCTGACTTTTTTTCAATGTGACTCGAAATTGGCCCCAGTGAGCTTTATTGTATGTAAACGCTCTGACTACATTTCTTACTAAAAGTTATACTATCGAGTTCCTATTATCTTTGATGATTTATTTATCAAACATGCACTTTGAAACAAAAGTTATCCGACATTTTTGGCATGTGGTTGGTTGTGAAATATCTGCACATTCATGTAAACTAGCCACTTCATAATGAGGTAATCTTCGTAAAGAGCCTAGAATCAAGTGTATTCATTAAAAAAAAATCAATACAGGTGCATCTAAGTCTAAAATTATGTAGGAAGTGATTAGTAAATTTATTGAATGTCTGAGAAGCATGTGTTATTCTAATATCAATGTTGTAATTAAGAAGTTTCTTAGAAACTGTTGGTATATGTTTCTACTGTGTGGTGTACAGGATTATGTTTCGTGTTATGTAGCTGGGTCAACGTGAAGGATTTTGAGTGACAGTTTGTGTCACTAAACAAAACTCATATAGTTAAGATTTCCTAAACCATGCAAGCTAACACTACGTATAACATTTATCTAAACCAGTGTGTGAAGATTATACGTGCACAAAGCAACGTTAATTGGAAGCTACACTATTGCAATAATAAATGCCCATGTAAATGGTGTATATAAGCTGAAAATTAAGGTTGTTTTATCTATACACATGTGCATTGGGTGGTAATTGTAAGAATTAGTGAATATGAGTGGTACCACAGTATTATCTTCCCCATAATCTATCAGGAAATGGATGCTACTAGTTTAGCTTTATTATTCCTGGTAATATCAGTCGTAATTAGTCGTCCTTTGGATTTTTACCAGTAAAGAAAAGGAGTGGTTGCGGGTACTTAATACTCTCTAGCTTTGGATAATATAGCGTCGTCAGCTGATATGAACTACATTATGTAAGATGGTAGAATACCCAATCAGTATACAGCGACAAGCAACGTAGAATGCAACTGCTACCTTTAAAGTATTTTAATATTTTCTACCTAACGACTATATGAGTTAAGTTCCAGTGATTTTTCTCTTAGGTATCATATCATTTTCCACTTCTTTACCCATCTATTAAACGGAACCGGTTTCAAGATGCATGTTACTATGGAAGTGTTCTCTAGGATAAGACCTTTTTAGTGACTAGCTCTTTAACCCATCATCCACAATTCCGTTTAATGTCGATCACAATATGAAATTTCCATTTTTCAATTACTGATAGCGCGGTTGCACTGTGATTATTGTATGCTACATAGGGATATTTTTACTGCACATCATAGTTTCACAAAGAATTTCTTTTAATATCATTCGTTAGGACAAGATGTTCTTACGAAATAATTGCTGAATTTGCACCGCTATCGCTGCTAAAATACAAAACCCCATCTTACGTAGAAATGGTCCTTAAGTGATTTAGCCCTCAAAGCACTTAACCGCGTTCCACACCTTTCAAATCGAACAGCCGAGTAGTCACCCTACATAAAATGTACCTCAGAGCTCGATACCGGATAGGAGGTATAGGAAATCAATGGTCGAATGCGGCTGCAGCATCTGAGTATGAATTATGATTCGTGCTAGAAACAGACAACGTTTCCCTACTGGAAATTCTCATTTATGTTGTTAAGTGATCTGATCGCAATAAAAATGTATAATCTGTCCTATCGTTAAACAAATGGAAATAAGCAATACGAACATTTATTTCTTTAAACACACAAATATTGGTACAAAGAGGCACAAAATAGGTATGCGCCACACTTCATCATTCGATTTGTGTGAGGGCTGCGATACTGCCAGCACACCCAAATCGAAGCTGGTGGTTTTCTTAGGGGGGCCACACCCCGAGCCTTTGACCTAAAAATTTATTCCACAACACAGTGGAGCAACGTAAGGAGATGCAGTCCCATGGTAGCAGGTGACCAACGATCGGTCTATACATCTGTTCTCTCTGGGATCGGGCTTTCCCAACTCCCCGTGTCCACCAACCCGGTTAAAGCACTGGACATCCGCTTTTTGTCCTCTGAATTTCGTAAGCAACACCCGTGGTGCGAGAAGGCAGTGAGTAGGACTTCCTTGTCAGTGGTTGTATGCATGTGGCCATATGAGAGCGTTTCGAAAGGGAAAGTTGACTCTCGGGTGTACCAGGGCATTTGGGAACAATACAAACATTTAAGTACCTTCATGATCCAGCCTCGACCTAACACACTGAAAATCTCATTGTTTACAGATACTTCGATACAACCAATCCTTTTGCCTACAAGTTGGTGATATTTTTGTAATAATGGTTGGTACAGACCGCGAGTTTTGTCTGATTTACACAAACTGGTATACCTACATCCTAGTTTTGATATTCACACATGGAGACTTAAAACCAAATAGCTTACTGCTAGGTAAGATAATGTTGATAATAGTAGCTTAAGGTGTTAGGTTCCATACTTAAAATATGAACAATAACTCCACGATTCAGGTACTATATCTAATTAACATGTAAGTGATATACAATAATGTCTGAACAATAATAATATCGGATATTTACAAAACATCGACTATTAAAGAGAAACTTTTATTTAGCCATGTGTATTTATGATTTTTACACACACATATACACCAAAAGAAATACCGTTTAAAAATAGGGGGAAATCAAAAAAAAACATTTTTGTCACTGTGTGTACTTTTTTTTTTAATCTTAGAACATTGTCGCAACAAATTAACTAAAATAAACAGAGATTGCAAAATAAAAAAAAGATGAAGAGGGGATTGTGAGTGAAGGAAGAATTTCATCAATATTGATAATTGAACAAAATGTTCAGCAAAAGACAAGTCAGTCAGCTACAACGTAGGACCAGGCACATGTGTGCGTCGGTCCAGGTTGCCATACCGCATCAGCACAACAAGATGAACACCGGATTCATAACAGTGGTTAGGTAAAAGGTGGTAATATATAAGAGAAAAACAAGAAAGCGAAGAAAGAAAGATAAACACAAGATAGTATGAACATGAAATATGATCATTATCAACAACATCACAGATTAAGGGATCATTGTGTGCAATTTAAATAATAACAATATTAAAGTGATGAGCTGTAACCAAATGTGGAAGGGGGGTGAAAGTAGTTTAGATTTCATGACGCTTTCCCGAGTAGTAGAAGAAGAAGAAGAAAAGAGCTTAGTAACAACAACCTTCGAAAAATTAAAAAGAAACCAAATGGGAAATAATAACTAATCAAAGAAGTCAATAGTATATAAATTATATAATTATTTATCCTTTTTTTCAACTGGAAGAGATAAAGGGAAAGTTCATGTTTGTATTAAGAAATTGTTCATTTCTACATTAAAAATGTATTATTCCCCACTGATTTATGTAATACTTAGAATTGTGCTTTGAAAACTCCTTTATTATTAATTGGGAGAGAACAAGATTTACTGAGTTCACGTGGATCCATGCATGTACATACATATGATTCATGGTGTAATATTATGAATATAACAGTTTGGTGGAGGGTAATTGCTGAAAAAGAAACGGAACGTGGGTTAATTTTCAGTGATGATAAACAACATCATTCAAACCAACATAATTTCTAGACGTGATTATTTTAACCACACTAATGAACCGTGGTCCAATTTAAACCAGTTCATGAAATTGTGCAACCATCTTTCATTGCATATAGTGAATACCATCCTCACACCCAACACGGTTGTGTGGTTATGAATATTCACTGCTCAGGAGTCTAATACTAGGATGAAACTACTGTCCAGTGCTTTCACGTTTTCAATGATTGTCCAACATAGATCGGTGTTCATGATCTCAACCAAATCTAACAATCTCCATAATCTCATACTGAAAAACTGTTATTTGTTACTTGATCATGTAGGTAATTACAAACTATTAGGTTGTAGTTCGTGTGATTAGTATAACCAACTGTTGAGACTCTAGGTGACAATTCAAAATCGTCTACAATGATATAGGCTCATTCCCTCTTTGTTCTGAGATTCTTAGTTCCCAAATTACCTTTTAATTTTTTAAAATTCCATATATTTCCTTCTCGAATCATATCACCTATGCTTAATCTTTTCTATTCCCACTGATACTGTCACTACCCATACCTTGACAATCTCATTTGATTATGTTAATGAGTTGTAGTAACTTGAACGTGTTGTACATAGATGCCAAGTTCAACGCTGGGTATAAACTGACTGATTGACATTCAAGCAGAAAGGTTCTTTATACCATACAAAACAAAAGGCTTGATCATAACGGATGAATTGTTGTTGAACTTAATGAATTCTAACGGGTAACTCATTTTTGCATAGAACAGATTTATGTAATTGGCTATTATTCTACCGATATGTGCACCAGCAAAATCGAGTATTTTAACTAATAAGTCTAGTCAATATACAAAAAGCCTACTAAACAATTATGCACTTGGTAAATGTCAATAAATAGAATGAGGCAGAGTCATAGATAGTGACATATCTGGGCATAAATATGTATTAGTTTAAGATGTCACAATTTATGCATTAAAGCATAGTGAGAAAGCAAGCTGACAATATAAAACTGAACACGATTAGAGCATCATGTATATATGTAAGGATATAAGTTTCCCTCTTGTTGACATCAAGGACTTCCAGCCTCTACTGGAATCTGCGTATCCTCAGCAGATTGCGTGTAGTTACAACTTTTAGCAAGTTGGGCCGTGGTTAGCAGTTTATTCAAAAGAATGTGTTTTGTATTATGTGAGGTCCAGATGGATGTACCTGTATCTCAGAGTTGGTGTTCAAAGTGGAAGGTAGCAGGTTCAGCTTTCACGGTAAGTATACTGAACATAGCTGAGAAAAATGAACAAGTGATAATCTCTATGGAAGACCTACAGTGATACCCATATGGACCTAAATATTACGATTAATTCCAGCGTAACAGCAATCTCAAAGTTGTACACATTGCCAAGTGAGTAGTGTTGAGGTAAGATGCAAGGCGCTAGGCAAATATAGCAAATCGGATGAAGAGTTATTGGACTTTTATCGACTAAGTTGGTTGGGATGTGCATTATACCATAGGCCAAGTTACTGCTTGCTTTGACGCACAACATTCGCTCGGGTAGAAGTAGGTCGGAAAGAAGCAAGGAGTGATCAGACTAAAACATCATATAAATCTATGACCGTTGTTTTGAGGTATTTCGATAGGGAAACATCATTTATTTGGGATTCGGGCAATAAATGTGATCAGTGATTTTATATCTAATCATATTATTAGCGATTACTGTAAAGATTTTATGAACCAACTTACATCTATGAACATTTATATCGGGCTATAAGGTAATCATATCTAACTGATACATACATCTCTACAAATGATTGAATCAGGAACAGACACTTGAAATATTCAATAACAATCTCTAATTATATGAAAAATGAATTTGGCCGTAGAGACTTACATTTCATTGTTAGTTAACGATGGATAGAGAGATGGAAAGGGAGAGAGAGAGATAAAAACACAGAGTAAAAACAACCACATTACAATATACATAATGGTTAAGATTAATGATCATGATCACAAATAGAGATTATACATACACAGATATATAAGATTTTACCTACCTAATAGATAGAATAGTTTATGAAGAAGATAAAAAGAATGATTACACACAAATGTGAAAGATTTCATTAATTTTATGAACGTAGATTGTTAATTGTTTGTGGAAGTGGGGGTTGAAGTGGATTGATCAATTTATTTGCTCCGGATTCTAAAGTATCACTAGCCAATATATTTACATAACGTGACCGAGAATTGCTAGTACGTGATGAAATAGACCCTGAAGGAACAGAGACTGGATGATAAGTAGGAAACAGAGGTGGATTCAGCGTACTATTATTATTACTACTATTACTATTACTCATTGAACTGTCATCATTTTTTGGCATAATAAATGAAGATGCTGGCGGGGGTGGTGGTACCTTGTTTGATTCACTTCCGTCAGGATCATTCACATCAATCCATTGTTTAAGGCGATCATCCCAAACTATCTATAATTGTAAAATATGCATAACCCGTAAAAAGATAGTGAGACAAACTTGGAAAAGATGGTTATATTCAAGTGAAACAATACTATTAAACAACTATCAGTAAACAATTGCTATTTATGGTATAAAATTTCCTATAGTCTTTGGATCACAAAGTGACCTCAGTAAGACCATCGTTCAAAACCTGGAAGCACTATTTCGCCCAAGTATGGGACTCCTCAACAATGCGTATCCTCTACGTTACTGAACCGGCATTCAACGGTATACATATCTAACTTTATTCACGATATTGTGCGATCATAGTTCATTGCCTGCTGTAGATAACTATCTCACACTCGACATGATTGAACCCTACTATTCATGGCTTCTTGCTATAACCCCAGGAATCGTATACTGAAGTTAGTCACTACTAAGCGCATGCTAATTTTCAATGTAGGATTTTGGATAGGTCACAGATTTCTCATTGGATTCCGGTTCAGCAGTCTATGAGCTAAGAATTTACGCGCGAAACCAGTAGGTCCTGGGTTCAAATCTCGCAGGGGGCGAGGTCATGGATGCACATCACTGAAGAGTCCCACAATAGGATGAAACTGCGGCTCAGTGCTTCCAGGTTTTACAACATGGTGATCTAGCTTCAATTAACTCATGATTCCAACTATTGAGAATGTTTATTTCATTGAGCTATAGAATCGAGTTGTTAGGAGGTGTATAAATTCATTAGTAAAACTAAACTATACAGGCGACCTTGAAGAAACTGGATCAATCAGTCAGAATGAGGGAAGACAGAGATTGTTGAACGGATGAGGGATGTTTTTAAAATGGAATTACAAATAGCCAGTTACTAAACTATCCAGTTCAGGGGATAAGGTTGTATTTTTTTTGGAAGTATTAAATTTAGGAGTGTTAATTCTAAGATTACGAAGACATATGTTATACACTGGTCAGGAATTGTATTGGTAAAATGTAATAAAAGTTACCAATCAACGATGTCTTGATGATTCGATTCATTAAAGCAACTTTATCATTTGATTAAACTAACTATAATTATATTAGGCCAGTCAAGTTGTTTAACCATTAATGTGTTGACCGAATTATATCAGTCAGATGTTTACAGTATAATATGAAATCATTATCTAACTTATATAACGAACTGATCTTAGTTAGACTGTTAGTGAAAACTAGAAAGTACTGGACAGCTAAATCGTTCTAGTATGTGACTTCTAGATAAACCACTAGATGCCAACTTACTGATCTATATGTTAAGCATTCATTGTGAAGTTTGAAAGGTACTTGGTTTGATTCCCGGTTAGACTATGAGATGAGCATTGCTAAGAAGTTCCATACTATAGTAGAACAGCTGTCCAGTGCTTCTTGGTTTCTAATGATGGTGTAAACTATAATCTTTAACAATCTTCACAGACTCCCTATACTAATGATAAAACCATTGCTTTACATATGATAAATGAGCGTGAAGTTATATTATAATCACAGCTTATTGAAAAGTATGGAAAAACATAAACATCTCAATTGTGATTAAGTATTGGTTATTATGCAATCAAAAAACACCAATAATTTCGTCTCTGTAATACAAACTGTGTTAACAAATCTACGAATCATCAACAGATGAAAAACGAATTTGTGTTAGAAACATAAATAGCTTCACACTAAAAAAAATGGGGGAAAAATCCTGCCTAATTCACAAATTATTCGTAGAAAAGCGTGTAAGTTAACTACAAACTGAATAACACAGCAACAAGAAGTGATTTTGATTAATATAAAATAATGAAGCATGGTGAAATCTAATTTACGGGTTATAACTATCAGGGTGTAACAGAAAAGGTATGCGCATGTGTGTGTTTGGGTAGAATATCACTGATCAGTTGGTTGGTTAGTGAGTAGTATACAATAATCATGGTTATTAACATAATTATAATGAACATATATATATATATATATATATATATATATATATATATATATATATATATATATATATATATATATATATATATATATATATATATATATATCGCAACCCTATCAAGAAGGCAGATCAGGACTCAACAACTTACAGAAGGCTTAGAATCATCCGGTAGATGAACATTCTTTGGACCATTTTTCTTAAGACGTCCAAACCAACCTGACAACCAACCATCCTGTAAAGTAAAACAAATCACTACATAATCAGGTATTTGTGATTTTGATTTGCCTTTAAACGAATCTACTGATTTATATATGTATATACAAGACTAATGTTAATGTCACTGGACACGGAAAAAAGGTACAATGATTCTTCTGAATAGATGTGTGTACAAGAATCTATACGTTGTAGGTAGGTGCAGACTACCTGGTTGGGGTTCACGTGTTGTAACCAGTTGGTTACGGACATGACTCAGAACTGTTTGAAATGGCACAAGTCTATTCATCTCTTTGTCATCCATTAAAACCTAAGTGCTGAAATCTCCTTTTAACTTTTTCTCTTATTGAGGCTACTGACCCTATTATAACTTCTACTACTCTGGGATTTATCTTGAATTAATTTTACCTCTCTGTGTTAATATAGTATGAAAACCTGAATTGATGTATGTATATGTCAGGTTCTATGGTGCATACAACGGAATTACGAAATTAAGTTATGACTCCTCGTCGTTGATCGTTTAATTAATCGTAAGCAAATATACCGATCAGCTTAAAAATCTTACACTACACATAAACACAGTGAATTGAAATTATCAAAACAAATATTAGAGGTAAAAGAAAAAAATAAGGGATAGACCATACTTCTCGAGAAGAAGAGATAAATTTATGGAATAGAAACAATTTAAGTTAACTTTGAAAATCAAAACCTACGGAAATACAAAAAGTGAATATATTCGTACGATTATGATCGATTCTCAACAACGTTACACAAAGTCTCCTAAAACGAATTACGATCATCGTACAGATCCACATTCGGGTAGCTTATACTTAATAACATAGTTCAGACTAGTAGTTAATGACTTCGTGAACTAATATCACATCTTGGTTTAGTTGAGTGTAGCTTACTTTCAACTTTCTGCTTTCATACCAACCAAAATCAAAGGGTTAACATAAACAATGTGATTGAGCGAGCATATGTAATGCATTCTTTGAAAATGCGAAATATCAGAAACCCAATCCACTACCGATTAGGATATTATTTTAATAGTTGAATTCATGAGTCGATTTAAACTAGATCACGATTGTAAACTTGGAAATAGTAAACAGCCTTTTCGTCCAAATATGTTTTCAATGGCGGTCTAGCTTATATCGACCCATGAATTCAACTATTAAAACCACTACAATCACCACAAACCCCCATTCTAAAAGTAAGATATTATTATTATTTTACTGTTATAAACATGATAATATTGAATAAAGGTAATAATAATAGTAATAGATTAGTGAACTTGGTTAAGTCTTTCTCTCCCTTACACACACACACACACATACACCTAGTACAATAAAATCTACTTTAGATCAAATAATGTTGATCATGGTAGACATTTCAAATCAATCGTAAGCATAAATCTATGAAACAGTATTAAACTAAGGTAAATTTTTTTCTCAAAAGAATACACTGTTATTTCATCACTGAGCTTTATCAAAATAGTTAAACTGTTAATTAAAGAGCTAATAGCTTTTAAGCTAACTAAATAATAGATGAATAAGTTAGTTTGATGAGTACACCTTAGAGAAGGGTTAAAATAGTGGGACTAAAAGTATGTATATAGATATCTGACATTGATCATGATATGGTATTTTGTTTGATTTCTAATAAAATGATACATTTTAATGATCTAGAAAGAAAAAAAACGGACTAGAAATCAAGTGATTGCATAAACGGTAAGTATACTAAATGATCAGAAGAAGAAATTCAAACTTAAACTCGCTATTTGAATGTTTTTCTAAGAAACGTCTTTATATGCTCGTTTTTGATCTACACTTATTATGTAAATTCTAGTAATACTATGTGAATGGTTAAACTAGGACAAATGAAACGAAGGTTGGATCTTTGATCTACTGTTCAGTCAATCGTCATACTGTAAATATAATTCGCCAGCCTTAATGACATTAAGAACAGTTATTATTAATTATAAAACTAATAATTTATCATCAATATAGGATGAATTCATTTCAAGCTAACCATAGTATAGAATGGATGGTGCTTAATGTGAGTAATTGTGAACGGATGATATATATTTGCATCAGATATCTGGTTATTTACATGTGATGTAAACTCAAAGCTTGTTTACTTGACCGTAATGTGTGGAACTATGAAGCTTAGAGTAAAGTGTCATCTGAATTAAATGGAAGTCTAGCATCCCATTTTGTGATACACAAAAAAAGTATTCCAAGAGAAACCTTATCACTTATATTTTATATTTCAGTTAGAGAATAATTCTAGGTTTAAGATCTCTTTAGAATTGCATAATCATGAACACATCGAGGATTGAACCTAGTACATCTAAATATTGTAACGAGCACTCCTTTTCGTTATACCACTAGATCGACATCCAATAAATTTATTAAAATAGACTGAACGGAGTTCGGTCCAATGACTTGGTGATTGAAAATAAAAGGTCTAAACCACCACTAAACCACCTTTCTTAACAAATCATTAGAGGAAACTATGCCAATCATGATCCATAGCATTCGATCTGCACTAATAAGGACTAGACACGCATGACATTTTTCACCATCCAGTGATCAATCAATTGTGATTACATCTCAGTCCTACAGGAGGTCGGTCGCGGCTCGGATAGCTCAGTGGTAACGTCTCTGAGTGTGAAACTGGGTGACACGAGATCGAATCCGTCAGGGAGCATCAGTTCCCTCAAGATTACAGGTACACCTTGTTGACGAGTGCCAAGTAGCACGAAACCCGGGTCCAGGGTATCCTGTCGACTACCTCCAATCACCATCTAATGATGTCAATCAAATATATATATACAAAAACGATTAAAACGACGAAGAAACAAACAAACAATATCATTACCTTTGATTGTTGTTCATTTTTATCTAAATTATTCAAATCACTTGATTTGTCCTGTGCAAAACGTTCACTACTACTATTATTATCATTACTATGAATAGTAGTAGTGGAAGTAGTAGTGGTAGTAGTAGCAAGAGTATTATTATAATCTTTGAAATGATCATTCATCATTGAAGATGGATGTCTAGAAGGTTGAGGAAGATAATTTATTTGTGATAAATTAGACATAGATTGTTTTTGAGGGTGTTGAAAATGTTGTTCGTTTGTAAATGAATTTTCATATTTGGTAGATAAGAAATTCTGACTATTATTGGATGACTAAAATATTAGAAAAATAAAACAAAATTTTATTTAACGAGGATTGTATTTTGACACAGAGAGAGCTTAGGTACCTACTAGGACAACAATACAGGCATGTTAAATAGTTATCATCATTAGATTGAGAAATATCTGAATGAATCTTTAGTTTTGTTACTTGAAAATCAAGTTCTAAATGGTCCGAGAAAAGTACTGAATTACATTTCGAGATAGGCTTTGGGATCAGCTTTAGTTTATTTATTTAAACACATAAAAATTAGTACAAGGGGGCACCAAATAGATATGTGCCACACTTTATCGTTTGATTTGTGTGAGGGCTGTCATACTGCCCGCACACCCAAACAGAAGTTGGTGGTTTTTTATTAGGGGGGGCTACACCACGAGCCTTTGACCTAAAAATTTAATCCACAACGCAGTGGAGTAATGTAAGGAGATGCAGTCCCATGGTAGCAGGTGACTAACAACTAGTTCATACGTCATTTGTTTCCTTAAGATCCTGGAGACCATCAGTTAGTCAGCCCATGTAAACCATTGGTTTGGAACCAGGGTTTTCCAACTCCCCTAGATGGATTCTCTGTATCCACCAACCCGGTTAAAGCACTAGACATTCGCTTTTCGTCCTCTCAATTTCGCAAACAACACCCCACCACCACGAGAAGGCAGTGAATAGGGATTCCCTGTCAGTGGATGTATGCACGTGGCCATTTGAGAACATCTCGAGAGGGAGAGCTGACTCTCTCCATTCTCTGCCGTACCAAAGCATTGTAAATCAGTCAGTCAGTAAGTCAAAAGCATTTGGGGGAGGTTGAGTTATATTCAAAATATCACTCGATATATGGCAAGAATTAATAGACAAAAGTGGGTTAAATAGAACATTTTGTGAGTCAAGTATTATATATATATATATATATATATATATATATATATATATATATATATATATATATATATATATATATATATATAATTACATTATCTGTTGAACAGACAGATAAGCTGAGCTGTCAAGATTCTAAGTGTGTACAACCACTTGCGTTTTTTGACAGCCAACTCACAGTTCAGATAACTGCTTGATAATGAAGTGAACAAGGGAAATCACGGTTTGAATAGTTCAGTGATAATGTCTCATATTGTGAAATGAGGTAAGCAGGGTTTAAACTCCCAAGGAAAGTATTGGCTTCTTCAAAATTACAGGGACACCTTGGTGTTTATTGTCAATTACCACGAAACCTAGGTCAAGTAGGGTTTCTTGATGACTATTTTCAGCCACTTAAAATCTCAACACAGAAACTATGATGTTGATTCATTCAGACTAGTGGCCGCGTCGCAACAGTGGAAATCGATAAGAACTAAAGGACTAGACAACTATAACGTTGGTAGCTACTCAGTGATTAATCAGTTGGAAATCCTCTGTACATACGATTCTGGTATAAGATTAAAGACGTCGACTGCTAAGGATTTTGCAAATATGTTTGGAACGATAGAAATGTAGAACATATTTAAAGAGATAAGACTGGTATATATCAAATATGGTAAAATAAAAGTTTTATAGACCTAGTTCTTATATTTATTGAATAGACTACATAATTTTCTAAATGTTCATTCTTTCCCATCTGCGAACATTCATAAAAAAAGAGTTCTGTCCCTATTCTGTCCATTTCAATGCATGAATTCTAATGAAATTGGCTCTCATTTCTTTAAATGACAGATAAAGAGAAAATGATCTACTTTAACCATCCATGATGATCCCGATTGCGGTTTTGCAAAAATAAACTTTGGAATAAGTTGTATTGTCTTTTCATCAATATGTATGAGACAGTTAACAGTATTGGGTGGTGCCTATATCATTCAATGTCTCTTTATACACCCACGTCTGCATAGCTTCTTTCCGAAGGAAGTCCCAATTCACTGTATTTACATGGTAGAAGTATTTCTTCTAAAGTAAGGGGGTGAAAAGCGGACGTTCTGTGCTTAAACATGATTGTTATAAAAGAGCCATGACTTAGGAGAATTGAAAAATACTGATATACATGTTCTTTTGACTCGTGAAGCGACAAGTCGAGTGCAAGATTATGCTAGTTATCGAGTACCATGGGATCCCATCCCATGACGTTTTTCTACTACCTTATAGACTAGATTTTCACGTTGAAGGCTCAAGGAACGATCTCCTGGGAAAACTACCAACTTTTGTCTGAACTCCTATACAGTATCCCAGCCTATAAACACATGATTAGATTTACTAATACGGTTATCCACATAGTAATAGTAGTGTTAGTACAATAAAAACTTACTGGATCCAATTGATCAACAGTCGTGGAATTTGTCATACTAACAGTATTATTTTCAGAATTACCGGATACTGTACGGGAACGTGACTGAATCTATTCAAAATAATTAAATAAAAAAACTAGTAAAAAACAACATTATTATAAATTTAATTATTCAATAATATCGACATGGGAATTTGTGGAGATTGTAGTATTTTAACTGTTGAATTCACGAGTCAATCTAAGCTAGATCGCCATTGAAAACCTGGAAGCATTGGACAACCGTTTCTTTCTAGTATACAACTTCTCAGTGATGCACACGGAACTCGAACTAGTGGAGTCCAATCTGTGTCGAATGTGAAATAGGTATCCACCTCAAACAATGGATAAAGGGTTGTGAAAGATCATGAACCAATTGAAGTTACACATTAATGCCGTTGGATACCAGCTCAGTGGTCTAAAGATTAAGAATTCGCGCATGGAACCGAAAGTTTTAGGTTAGAGCCCCACGTGCCCGATCGTGGATGCGCACCGCTGAGGAGTCCTACACTAGAACGAGACAGACGACCAATGCTTTCAGGTATTCAATACTAATTAATCAATCAAAATCAAATTATACAAATCGAAAGAAAAAAACTTACACTTTGAATATTTGCAAAGTAATCAAATGGTTGTTGATTAGATAATGTAGAATAATTTAATGAACTATTATCATCATTTATCATTAATTGTGAATCAGTTTGATGATTGATAGGCATAAAAATAGAATTATTCATTTCATTCAATGTAGTTGTTACCGATGATGATGAGGATGATGTTGAAACTGCTAATGATGATTGCAACATTGAATTGATTGGTTGATCTGATTGTGAAGACAATGGATAATTTGACAATTGAACAGGTGAATTCATAGAATAATTATGTTGTTTGTTATCACTATGTTGAATAAGATTAGATGTTGTATTAGAAGATAATTGACGATAGGGTTCTGATTGATAAGAGTATTCATGAGATGGTACTGATGATAATGAAGGTGGTGATTGTTGACTGAATGATTCATGATTAAACAACTAGAAATATGAGAACGATATGAATAGTTAATATCATTCCATTAAATTACTGAATAGAATATAAAGAAAATTTAGCGACGAAGTCATTTACTTAAGCTGTACATCCGTATATTTATAGTTATTTAGTAAATGTAGGCCCTGAGTTCGAGTCCTACATGTGAGATCGTGAATGTGCACTGCTGAGGTGTTCCATACTAGGACTAAACGGTCATCCAATGCTTCCAGGTTTTTAATGATGGTCTGGTTTAGCTTAAATAGACTTATGAATTCAGCTATTAAAATTACTACAATCTCCACAAACCCACATTCTGATCAAAATGTATAAGTATATAGAAGGATAGAAAAGGTGGCATCATAAAGTGATTTAAGATTCCCAAATATGAAGTGAGGTTACGTAATAATCACTTGGTTACGGAAGAATAGGAGGATGAGAATAATTTACGAGTTAGAATTATGAAAGACAATTGCCCAGTTAACAAATACGAAGAAGAAATGAACAACGTATAGGTCATAACTAACAACTGAAATCATGAAATATCGTTTAAGGATACTAGTAACTGATCATGGTTTAAAAGAAGTACAAAATAATAATAAATACGAATGCACAGCTCCAAATAGTAAATCAATTCGTCGAAAATAAAGTCTTCTTCGCTGAATTCTCTTTAGATTGATAGTTAGACCAACCAGTCAGTCATCTATAACGTAGAACCATGCACATATTAGCATCGGTTCAAGTTCCCATTCCTCATTAATTGACTAGTGTTTATTATTGACGAAAATAACCATTGCCAATTATTTCACAAAAAAAAGAAATTTATGTATTCAATTATGGTAAAATAAATATTTAGTCTACTGCTTTAAAAAAAAAGAAAAGTATGTGCCGACTTGTGTCACTTAGTTAGGCTTAAGCAACATGGAAAGTTACATGTTTATACATCAGTTCTACTTGTCATATCCCATTAGTATTTAATTACTTACGCCTGTTATCCCTCGTGGAAGAGAATAAGTCGATCATCAGGATTAGTACGAGATTAACTGTTGCTTTGGTTGTTAGAAGGGGCATCGGTTTTGTGATTTCTGAAGAATCTCGGCTTTCATCATGAGAGGTCATAATTCTTCTGAATGAAGACCGTTCAACTCCCAGGGCCGAGTTTAAATGATTTATTCTGATTAGCATTTTTCAGCAAGATTGTTTTCTACGGGATTGGGGTTGTTGATCCCATGCAATCCCATTAGAACAATGAGATCAAATTCTCAGGGTGAACCCCACAATAGTAGAGATAGTCGTAACAGGATCAGTGGTAATAGAAAAACTGGGCATAGAAGATCTAATTTGAGACGAAAATATGGATTCGTAAAATAAAGAGCATTTAGAATGTAATTTAGAAACTTTCGGTCAAAGAGAAGATAAAGAGTGAATGGATCTGAGCCACTAAGAGAGATTTTGGGCCATATTATGTAAATCAACCAACATGTAGGAATCAATTTAATTTATTAAACAATTAGAAAGATCATGGATAAATATAAGGCGGAGAGTCAGATCAAACGGAGATACAATCAAAATAAAGAAGCAAACAATAAAATATTAGGGATCAGTAATAACCAATCAAGATCGATAGGATAAGCTGTTAGTCATATGTAAATAGATTCTAATACTTCACTTCTATATGAAGTTTATGGTAATGACGATGTTCATAAGAGCAGTGGAAGCTCCACGACTGAACCATCAGTCTCAGAGTACGAAACTTTCCCAACATCATCCACATGATCTACAAATCTTCACCATTTCACCCTAAATCTCTGGTCACTGATTATGCAGACCTCAATCCGGTAGTCTATACCTATTGATATTGGTCACTCTAACAGTCAACTTCTTCACAGATTAATATCATGTTCTGGTTTTACCGCCCACAACTTTTTGGTAACCCGTTCTCACGCCAGCAATCATTACGCGTCGAGGTATTCAGTGGATGGGGATACGTAATAATATACCCAAACTATTTCAGTCGATAAAGATTCACTACATTGTCAATTGATTTGCCACACTTGCCTAGTACTTTGGGTTTATTTTATGATCCCAAAATATAAGAGCAATAGTTTGAAGCTACCTATGAATATCCTTTATTTTCGAAGACCAGTTTCACAATTATAAAACTATCCTGAAGGTCCCATTTTCTCTATCTCACCATAAACATGTAGATTATTACTGTTGAAATACTATTATATGATATTTGCTGTTCTATGAAGTCCGCAATCTCAAGATATGACAGGTTCAATACTATTATGAGTGATGAATTGATAGTTCAGCGATTAGTTATTGCAGATTTGAACTCCACACACACTCTGTCCACCTACTTCAGTTTAGGCATTTGACACATCCAGAGTATAGATCTAAGTCCACCTAATTACATAACAATAAAAGATTACTGAATGAAATTAGCGTAAAACATGAATGATTTTTTTTAACAGACTAGAATTTATGGACGAACGAATCAAATATAAGATAGCAAATCTCGGATTTTTGCGTGAAATTCATTCATCCATTTGGGTAAATAGTGTTTTGGTATTATAGATGAGGTCAATTCGTGATAAAAAAAACCATAAATCTAGTTCCTAACTTTAATCATCAATTATAAATCACAATTTTAATTTTTCATCTTGATTTTTATTTATTTATTTATTTTAACACAAAGATATTGGTACAAGGAGGCATCAAATATATATGCGCCACACAAATCTCATTCGATATGTGTGAGGGCTGTGATACTGCCCGGGTGCCCAAACCGAAGCAGATGGTTTTCTTAGGAGGCCACTCCCCGAGCCTTCGACCTGAAGGTCTGATCCACAAGGCAGTAGAGTGACGTAAGGAGATGCAGTCCCATGGAAGCAGGTGACCAACGATTGGTTCATACGCCATTTGTTCCTGCAGGATACTGGGGCGCATGTGCACCATTGGTTTGGGATCCGGTTAAAGCGCCGGACATTCGCTTTTTGTCCTCTCATTTTCGTAAACAACACCCGTGGCACGAGAAGGCAGTGAGTAGGACTTCCCTAGCAGAGGCTATATACGCATGACCATGTGAGAGCATTTGAAGTGGGAGAGCGGACTCTTCCCACTCCCGGTCGTACCAAGGCATTTGGAGGCTCTTGATTTATAACTCTTAATTAACTCCATTAAATAGATGAACATTCTAAAGATCAATCTCTAGTGTCATTCAAAAATTGTTCATAGATTATAGGTTTCAATAGATCAATTCCGTCTTCTCATTGTTCTATCGAAATTTATTTTTAAAAAAAGGGACCAATTGCTTTAGATTATAAGTTTCATTGAATTTTTTTATAGAAAAAAGGTAAGTACTCACTTGTCTTTGATGAATAGATGATTGATTAGATGAATTCATCTTTTGAATAGGATCTACCAGTTGATCATTTTTATTATTTCGTATAGAAGAATAATTCGAGATGGTTTTTGGTTCCTTATTATTATTATTATTGTTATTATTATTATTATTAACTTCATGAGGAATATAATTGTTATCATTTCTATTTGAATTAAAAATATTAACTTTACGTTGATCTCTATTATCCGTTGATAAAAATAAAGAAGAGTCATGTGTTTGAACATTAGATCTATATTCAACAGATGGTTTATAATTTGATTCTTTATTAAATTGATGATACTGACGTTGTTGTTGCTGTTGTTGTTGTTGAAGTGGTAGTGATGACTGATGATGATGAGGAGGAGGAGGATCATTAGAATCATTATGATCGGAATATTCTGTTTTCAAAGCTTCATTAGTAAAATGAGCATCACTACTGGGATTTTCTTTTGGTTTTTCCACAGATGTTTTGTAGCGTGGATGATTGATCTGAAAATGTAAATAAACAATCAACAGTTCAACTTAATATTACATATTATATATACACAAGTTACTGTAATTAGTAGAAATTGAAATTTGAAACATAAACAATATAGAGAGTAAGTTATAATTAACACAAAACCTGGAACCAATATACCTAAAGTTTTCACAACATAATAATAAAATACCGGCTCAGTGGTCTAGAGGTTAAGCGCTTGAGCACGAGGCCGAAGGTCCTGCTTTCGAATTCCTTGTGTGGGATCATGAATGCGCGCTGATGAGAAGTCCCATACTAGAACGAAATGACTGTCTAGTGCTTCCAGGTTTTTAATGGTGGTTTAATATTGATCGGTTCATGATTTCAATTGAAATATGATGAATTTAACAAGATCTATGTTAAACAATTCAAAATAACTGTATTATCAATGAAAGTAATGTGGTATGGAGGTAACTTGAACTGAGCAGTTATGTTGTAACGTGCAGTATCTGATGTTGATCGAATTCTATCGACCAAGTTGGTCATCAGTCTGAGTAACTCAACATCTCGTACATTACGTTCAGATTCTAGATGGTTGGAAATAGTCAACAAGAAACCCTACTTGGCCGAGTTTTCGTGAAAGTCGGTGATCATCAATCACACACAACACAGAACCTGGTACATGTATACATCACTTCACGTTGTCATATCCCATTGGTACAATGATAGAAAATTCTCAGAGAGAATCCCACAATAGTGTAGATAATCGTAACAGAATCAGTGGTAATAGAAAAACTGGGCATAGAAGATCTAATTCGAGACGAAAATATGAATTAATGAAATAAAGAAAATTTAAAATGTAATTTAGAAACTTAAGATCAAAGGGAAGACAAAGAGTAAATGGGTCCAAGTCATTAAGAACGATTTCGGGCTATGTTACTTATTATCTCATAACAGTAGTTTCGATAATCACGCGGATTGCAATCAGGTAGTCTGAAACTAGCTACTATATGCCCAATAATCAGTGTCAACAAGATATACCTGAAATTTTGAAGGAACTAATACTTCCTGTGGGATTTGAACTCACATCAACTACTAAGCACAAAACCTAAATCAAACACAATTTCTTACTGGATACTTCTAACTAAATTTAAATCTTTATTTGATTTTATGGTCCAAAACAAACACATGGAATCCAAATAACAACCAAACAACAACAACAACAACAACAAAATACACTTAATACCTTTTGATTCATTTGATTAAAGATTTGATTTAATCGTTCAATCCAATTTTTATTTTTATTCTGTACAGGCATAGAATACGATGGATTTTTAAATTGAAATCCAAAACCATAATCTTCTATTATTTGACTGTTAGTTGATAATTGTAATATATCGAAACTTTCAATTTCTGGATGATATTGTAATGGTTCAGCTAATCGTAGACAATTACTAATTAAACTGTACAATAGTGGATCAACATATGTATTATTATCATTGTTATATAATGATTGAAGCTTAAGTTGATGTGTTGTTTCATCAATTTCAGTAAGAATCTCATTTCCGATAGCTGTTAAATAACGATAAGCTTTCTCGATAAAACCAGCGTCCAAAAGTCGTATAGCGTAAACAAGACGAAAAGGCTTGAAAAGAAAATTGTAAGTGAAAAACTTCAATAAACATGATATTAAGTGTCAATTTTAAAATGGAAGACTTTAAAAAAAACAACTTATTTACTGGGTGTACAAACTCATGTATTTGACTACGGAGTCACACTCCAAGTATGTATATGCGTGAATGAGTGAGGAATAATAATACTAGATCCAAAGTGGGACTCAACCTGGTTGGGAATCGGACGTTTTAGCCTTAATGAACCACTTATTTGACAATGTTTATACAAAGACTCTGAAGTAAGAGTTTACTGATAATATTGATTAGGTGGGTAATGCAGTCTTCCTATACGACGATATACACAAGCAACTTAGACCACTTTCAATCAGTTGGCGAGTAGTGTTGGTAAGTATGACATATATCTCGCACTATATAGGAAAGCCTGTACATCTAGTTGCTTTTGTAAATGTTGGCAGTCATATTGTAACATAAAAGATAAATCAATTTATGATGAAGAGGATAGTGGTGATTTGCGTTAATCTGCCCCCCCCAGTGGGGATCGACAGGAACGCAAAACATGTTATAAACAAAATCGATGTGCAACACTACTATGTGTGCAGTTCCCTATTCGATTTCCTATGGAACCTTTTGCCTTTTAGCTATTAGTCAATGATTTCATGTTTAATCATTGTTATCTCCTAAGAGTAGTTCACATTCGGTGTACGTAATGTTGAGGTGTGACAACTTGTATATTTTTTTCTATTACAGACATGATAACTTGTGAAGTATTTGTAAGTGCTATTAACATTTTAAGAAGGCGCCTTCAGTCATGACCACGCTTTACACATTTCGTCCGAGAGGTTTTCACAACAGGCATTATTTGCGAACCGTAAGGCTTGATGGACAATTGATGAGTCAGAACCACTGAAAAGAGAATGGTTACGTTGGATGCGCAACGACAGTGGTGGCGGTCTCAGATCCGGTACAATGTAGTGAGTCGAAAAGTTATCAAACACGAATTAGAAAAGAAGTCAGTGGCGATTTCGCTGTAATCTTCTGATGAAATTTTCATTAATATTAAAATCAATGGTACTTAATGTTAGTTTGACGCTATAAAATAACTTCCCGTCTATTTCCTTTTTACATATTATTATGGTTTTGTCTTTTATGGTGGATCTGTTAACCGAACAAAATTCGTTGAATAAAATTCAAACTTCCTAATCACTTAAACCATATGTATTGGTTATTTGAATCTTCTCATTAATGTTATGGGCTTCAATCAATCAATCTATTTTAACATATATGTATCTTATGCGGAACACATCGATATTACCATCAAGTCAGAAGTATTTTATTTAAAATTGGAATGGTGGCTAAAAGTGAAAGCCAGGAAGTGTCCTTCATTTCACTTGAGACTCATCAGCTGAATGTACCTGGACTCTAAGGTTGATACTCATGTCGAGACTCGAACTCAGTACATTTCGCTTCAGATGCACAACCCGTTATTCACTTGGTTACTGGATCTAGATAGTCACTGGCATGTGCAACGAGATCAATTTTAACTCATTTATATTGGTTGTTTGAGTCTTCTCGTTGATCTCAGTTAATCGTAAAATTTAGACACTTAGATAAAATTCCAATTTTCACTTCATACTATTTATTTACCAACAACAAGATTTATGTAGATGGCATTAAGCAAAACTTAGTATGTATATACATAAATGTTAATGAAACTAATCAAATGTTCAAACCAAATTTGACAAATATGTGGGATTCAAACCAAGGATCTGATGGTAGGAAATTAAGTATTTTCACCAATATGATCTATCGTCATATTTCTAGTTAATAGATAACATTAAAGAAAACTAAACGTACCATTAATTGACGTAGATGAAATTTACGGTTAGCCAACTGGATAGAGTATTCATATATTTCAGTGAGTTGAATAGCTTCTGAAGTAGCGAACAATGGGGATAAAGTATGATTTGACGCAATATTATCCTCCTGGAATCCATCTGAAGTATTGTTGATAACATCACCACCACTGGTAATATAAGTGGGAGGGACACCAATTAACCAGATTTTACCAGGTAAACGAAACTCTTTCTGTTTATCATCAATATTTTTCAATGAATTCATCAGTAAATAGCATAAGTGTGCAGCATAAACATGTTTTCGTGATAGTAAACCATCACCAAGACGTTCCAAGGCCAAAAGTGATAAGTCGGATTGTGATGAGTGACCAGCCAATATCATAGCTAAATGTGGTCTCCAATCACCATTATCTATGCCTAGAGGAATAATATACAATAGGGAAAAAGTAAATTTAATTCACAATATAATTTAAACCGAAAAACAATTGGACATAAGGTATGTAGGAGATTCAAATCGCTTTACAAGTATGCAAGTACATATCTGTACGAAAACAATTTGTCGTAGAGGTTAGAGGGAACCCTTAAAGACAAAGACAAAACTGTGAGGAATGATCAGTCACTCTATGTAGTCGAAATACTGATGGGAGTGGCTTGGCGGTTAGGTTGTTCGACTATCAACCACTACATTGTGTCTTAGAGATTTTCCCCACACACTACGGCTAGGACAGCCGTATATCACTAGCCCTCACCACACAGGGTGTGACTCACAGCCGTGTGAACGAACCTGTACTTAGTAAATGAGTTACATTACAAAAGTATTGCGTTCCAGATCTCTTTGAGACTATCAAATCTTACTAATCACGTTTCTGATGTGATCATTAGATCATATTAAGTGATTTAACAGTAGCTACAGTGTTCTTTCGTGGATCAATGTTAGCTAACTGTAAGCAAGAGGCTTAGAAAGCCCTCAGGATTTCATACTAGTTGGCAGCAACCTTGAAAGAACTTATGGTTCTCCTCTACAAATTTTGAACCCCAGATGAGTCTGTTTTTGAAATAACTCCAATCTACAGTTGACTACACGAAGCTTGCCAAAACCATTGAATTGTGTCTTTTACTTGTGTTTCACCGGCTGATTTTAATTTTACAAGATTTTTTAATGGAAAGGTAGGCATTAATGTTACGGTTCTGGTGACTCTACACGTTACATCAATGCAAGACCATAGATCCATAATAATAATCTGAGAACTAGTTGGAGAGAACAGTAAAACTAACGGCCGTATTTGGATCTGAATAAAACAGAAGATATGTGTTAATCGGACATAGATTAGATCAAAGGGTGTTCCGTGCAGGATTGTGTTTAGGTACGTTGATTGACTACTGAACTAGTCAGCGCAAACGGATACTTAAAGAAGACACTAGAATCTTCTTATGCAAAACTTATAAATATGTAAATGTTTTTCTTATTGTGGTTCCTACTCCTAATCAACCTTGTTTATTTGAATATAATTACGTTCCTGTTCAACCGCGTTTTGATTTGGGGACTTACTGAGTGAAGTAGTGACAAAGAATGCTAAGCAATAAAAGTATCTGGGTCGTCATAAAAGAAACCGTAACACTAAGAAATACCGCAATAAACATAATAGTTAATAAATATATTAAGATCAGCCTCTTCCATAAAATTTACATCGTAAATACAAAATGAATCCACTGTTTACCTCGTCCATAAGCCGCTGTATTAACAGATTGTGGCATTTCTCCAGCAGTTAATTGGTACAATGTAAGAATAGGATCCGATATTGATATGTCATTATTTAGAAAACGATCCATTACCTTTGCAAATGTTGAAGGACCCATCCGATGAGCCAATGTAAATGCATGACCCCATAGTTTAGATCGACAAGCATGTTCTAACGCTTTTATTGGTAAGCCATGCATTAACAACTATTTTTTCGAGAGAAAAAATTTATACATATACATATTGGTAATATAAGACAGAAAAGTATTGATAAAGATAGTTGAGGTTGACTATAACTTCTCTAATGTTCAATAATTGTCCTATGTTCATCATGGAAGATCCGCCTAAGGAAGTTGGAAAACCCTGATTCCAAACCAATGGTGTTCATGGTCTCAAGGATCCTAAGGGAACAAATGTCATATGAATCCCAAACTCGTGCTAAGCTCAAATTGAACTTATTCACAATGGATAACTCCGGACACTTCAAATGAACTTTTTTGTGAAAGGTTGAATTCAACATAAAGCACTCACTCACTAAACGAACAAAAAAAGTCTCAATTGCCAAATATCACAAACCTACTGAACACTGAAAACGATGCAGATAATCTCAGTTGGAGAAAAAACAACACAAAAAATCATAAAGACAACACATTGTAATAAAGATTGACATATTGTATAAACCAAAATAGGGTCATCTTTACATGCTAAGAAACTGATTAATCCATTACTCATGGTTAGTTCTCTTTGAATTAAATTAGCAGGTGGACTATTCAAATATACATTTTAGATTTATACGCTTAACACCATGGATGGCAAGATTTAAGTCTGTTAGAACTCTACATTATAGATTTGTACTGATTAACAACATGGGTCAGATAAGTTAGAATTAATTGAAGTAATGTAAGCGGTATGCGAGTGATCAACACTTTTTGATTATTCATATCGAGCTAAAATATTTCTTCTTGACCAATTTGAAAAGGATACTGGATTAGTATCAAAAAATTTATCAACATGATACTGTGACTGTTGAGTTGAAGAAACAACTGGTTATGCATGACCTATTCGTGAGCAAACATCTTTGTTTGGTTTCGTACTATTTAAACCATGCTGAGAGCACTGATAATCCATGAGATAAGGAAGAGTGTGTCATTTCTATTGCAGGTATTTTTTTTCAACACCATTCGTAGATGGGAAGAAATTATAGCTAAAGATAGTAGTTACTGCAAGGACAACTCATTAATATGTTTATGACGTTGGCCTTGAACTCAAAGTTTTTTACGTTTAGTCCAACTGGCTTAGGTGGTACGATATGATCTCAAAAAGAAATGTTTCAAGCAACAATAGCTCAATTAGGTCATCACGGTAGACGAACCGGTCTATCCCATCAAAGTAGAAACTACGGTTCAGCATAATCGACGGTTCTGCTATAAAATTATGTAGAACTACAGAAACGATATTACATGAAAAATCCATTGGAGAACGCTAATAATCTACCAATCTGAGAACGAATAACTTACGTTACAACTTCATATGCGATAAATATACCGAACATGTTACTCAAAACATGATCGTAACAAATAGTAGGTAAATTTAAACAAATTAGAGGTCTAATCCACAAGTCAGTGGAGCAACATTAGGAGATGCAGTCCTATGGTAGCTGGCAGCCAACAGTATGTTGACACGTCATTTGTTCCTCCAGAATCCTGGAACCCATGTGCACTATTCGTTTGGAATCAAGGTTTTCCAAATCCCCTAGGTGGGTGCTCCGTACCCACCAATCCGGTTTAAACACCAAATATTTGCTTTCCGTCCTCTCAATTTCGTAAACAATACCTCTGTAACGAGAAGGCAGTGTGAGTAGGACTTTTCTGGTAGTGGTTATATACGCACGGCCATGTGAGCATTTCGAGAGGGAGAGCGGAATCTCCCCACCTTTAGCCGTACCAGGATATTTGAAAGTCCTAATTGAAACAACTTTGGATCAAAAGGTTGAACAGTCAACCATCTTTACACATGTTTAATACATGTATCTATGTGCACTTCACGGATGGCGCTAACTTTCAATACGATCATATCCAAAAAAAATTTTAATTTACACGGAGATAACTACAAATTAATTAGTCAAAACCTTAACATAGGTAAAAAACGAGATGTGAAAATATAAATACAAAGCGTTTCCAGTAATCCATTTACACTTATATGTGGTCCAGTATTCAGTTCCTAACTGAAATCATTGATCCACTTGTTCAATCCGTTATCTTTATTGACAACTCAAAGTGATTCATGGACTTCTTGAGTTATTTTTCTCATGTTTCACCTACACACTAAACAGTTCACTTCACGTATTTATTGGACAAGTCTACTGTAGTACTTACTTCACGAAAACGATCCAGAAGTTTGCCTTCCGACTCCTGGCTGCGCAACCCCCTTTCGTCTATATGGACTCCTCCCATACGTCGAATAATATTTTGAACAGAACTCATTCTTCCAGTTTCCGAAGCTGCTTTGCTGTGCTGTAATAAACTACTTCCATAGTCTATTTCAAAATGTGATTCGGGACTTTCTCGACCACTTGTAACTTGACTCCCAGGTAACGAAGCTAACGATTCGTTTACATATTCCCCAACCTGATGATTATAATTGTTTAAAGTAGCTGAATATTGTACAGGCACCTGAACTCCTAGATAAGAACTAGAAGAATATCTATAGGAGCCACTCCTGAAACTATCAGTAGTTGGTTTGTGTCCTTCCAGTAAAAGATTTACAAGATCTGATGTCTGCAGATTCTGTGAAATAAGAAAATTCAAAGAACGATTGTGGTATCGAAATGTAAGAAAATATTAATTGAATTCTCATCTAAAACACTACCGCCAGATAAAGAATATATTACTAAACAAAATATAAAAAATCAATTCAGATCTAACATGTAAACTCTATAGTATTAAATATTAAGACTTAAAAATAACATAAGTGGAGAGCTTCTACTAATTGCCATTGAAATTGTCACTGGTATGATGGATATTCCTGACTACAAGCTAAAATGTGTTAATTAAGATACGTATTAGTCCTACGATATATATATATATATATATATATATATATATATATATATATATATATATATATATATATATATATATATATATATATGATACATTAGAATATAGGTTTCGCTTCACATAGATTAGATGAAATATAGCAAGCAGTGGAATCCAAGATGGGTATTTCATCTTATTTGTGACTCGTCACATGGATGTATCTGCACACCAAAGTTGATACTCAATGAGATTTGAAAGCAGTGCTTTTCGCTTCAAAACCAATGCGCTAACCACTTGGCTACTGACTCCAGATAGCTACGAATTTTATTATTCTAATGAAAGTAGGTGTGGTTTTTCTCTAACTAATGATCGTTCATGTATCCTTCTACAATCCAAGAATATTAAATAGTTTAGTAAACAGTTCTCTTTTTGGTCAATTCATTTCAATCAGTGTACTCTGTTGATTTTAAAGTGTCTATTATATGTTGGTCACTAAGCAAAGTTACGTTAAGGTCCCAAGTATGTCCATAATTCAGTGTTTTCTCTCAACTTTTAGCATTGAATTTTTCTCTTAGTTAGTGATCGTGTGTGAATATCAATCATCTTTTAATATTGTTATAGTTACGACTACTTATATCTCTTCTGAGGAAAATCTGATGCTCAGAATTGGATTGAGTTAATGAGAAATCAGAGTGCGATAGGATTTCTATTTTCAAATAAATCCAATTTGACCGATGACAATATCGATCACTTATCAATTCCAAAGAACATAGTATCTATGTCGATGCATTTGTTATTTTAAACAGTTGACAGGTGATACTGGAAGTTTGTGAATAAAATTAATGGGTAACAGGCGTTTGGATTATTTTCTCAAGGAATTTCGTACGTACACCTTTGGTGATTTCTATTAGTGAAAGAAAACTACTACTGTTTATATGGGTAAAAATTCTAAAGAGAGAGGTATTAGATGGTATACTGATTAGGAAGTGCTATTTACTTTTATTTATTTGAACACATAAATATTGGTACAAAGGGGCACTCAATACATATGGGCCACACAAGTCGCTTGATTTGTGTTGATATGCGTTAAATGACCTACTAGCCTAACACCAGAAGATTAAACTGAAAGTAAACACAATGACATGAAACTGGATCCCTTTATGAATCTGAATAAAATCCAAACAACAATTAAGGCATAATTACACGAATTAAATATTCGTGATTTCTCATCAGCTGCTTACAACCACTGATATATATTGAAGTGTAACCTTGAGTCCCTCCGGGGGCTACTGCCGGTCGCAAGCCCGGTTAAGGAGGAGGGTTGGGCATGGGGTTAGCGACCCCATCCCGTAGAAAACTAACTCGCTAGAAAACGCTAACCAGAAAAAATCATTCAAACCTTTTAAACTCTGCCCTGGGAGTCAGAAGGTCATCATTTAGAAGGGTTATGATGCCTCATGATGAAATCCGAGTTCCTTCGGAAGTCACGAGGCTGATGCACCTTAAGACAACCAGAGCAACCATTAATTTAGGTACATGGAATGCTCGTACAATGTGGGAGACCGAGGGAGTCTTCCAAATTGCTGCAGAAATGAGGAGATACAACTTAGAGGTGCTTGAAATCAATGAAACATGTTGGACGCAAGTTGGACAACGACGACCAGCTTCAGGGGAGCTTCTGTTATACCCCGGCCATGATGAAGAAAATGCTCCACATACACAAGGGGTTGCATTGATGCTGTCCAAACGAGCACAAAATGCACTTGTAGGATGAGAATCTCGTGGACCAAGGATCATCAAAGCCTCCATCAAAACAAAGAAAGAGGGCATTTTAATGGACGTCATCCAATGCTATGCACCTACCAACGACTAAAATGAAGACGCTAAAGATCAATTCTACGATAGGCTGCAGTCGATCGTCGAGAAGTGCCCAACAAAGGACCTGACCATTCTGATGACAGCAGTCAATACCAGCCGAACAAGAGCAAAAAAACCAAGGTACAAGCTGAATACACAGAAGTGAACAAGCAAGTGAAGAGGAGCAAACGAAAATATGTGGAAGATTTAGCAATGACGGCGGAAAAGGCTGCAAGAGAAGGAAACAAGAGAGAACTGTATGACATAACAAAGAAACACTGGAAATCACCGTAAACCAGAACGACTAGTGAAAAGCAAGGAAGGCAAGGTAATCATCAACATTGAATAACAACCAAACAGGTGGGTAGAACACTTCAAAGAACTCTTGAATCGATCATCTCCACTGAACCCACCCAACATCGAAGCAGCACCCACCCAATCGATGCTGGCCCACCAACAATTGAAGAGATCAGTATGACCATCAGACAAATCAAGAGTGGCAAATCAACAGGACCAGATAACATTCCAACAGAGGCACTGAAAGTAGATGTAGCAGTAACTGCAAGTATACTCCAAATTCTCTTCAGCAAGATTTGGGATGAAGAACAAATACCAACGGACTGGTAAGAAGGACTTCTGATCAAAATATCAAAGAAAGACAATCTCAGCAACCGTGATAACTACAGGGGCATCACTCTTCTCTCAATACCGGGAAAAGTATTCAACAGGGTATTGTTAAACAGGATAAGCATATGATCTGGCTCTTCCATCGCAAACGCGACAACAAATGCAAGAGAAGACTACCATTGTAGCAGCAGCCTCAGCAGCAGTAGACCTCAATATACACAAAAGGAAAAACAAGATTCTCCGATACAACACAGCATGCAACAATCGAATCACACTTGACGGAGAAGATTTGGAAGATGTAAAAACCTTTACATATCCGGGCAGCATCATTGATGAACACAGTGGATCTGATGCAGATGTGAAAGCGTGGATTGGCAAAGCAAGAGCAGCATATCTACGATTGAAGAACATCTAGAACTCAAATAAACTGTCTGTCAACCAACACCGATGTCAGAGTTTTCAATACAAATGTCAAGGCAGTTCTACTGTATGGGGCGGGAACCTGGAGAACTACGAAAGCCATCATACAGAAGATACTGGTGTTCACTAACAATTGTCTGCGCAAAACACTTCGGATCCGTTGGTCAGACACTATCAGCAACAACCAACTGTGGGAAAGAACAAACCAGATCCTAGCGGAGGAAAAAATTAGGAAGAAACACTGGAAGTGGATAGGACACATATTGAAGAAAGCATCCAACTGCGTCATAAGACAAGCCCTCACATGGAATCCTCAAGGTCAAAAGAAAAGAGGAAGACCAAAGAACACATTGCGCTTGGAAATGGAGATAAACATGAGAAAAAAAGAACAAGGATTGGATGGAACTAGAAAAGAAGGCCCGTGACAGAGTGGGTTGGAGAATGCTGGTCGGCGGCCTATGCTTCATTAGGAGTAAAAGGCGTAAGTAAATAGCCTTTAGGTATGATTTTTGTGAAACAATTGACACGGATGGAACTGGAACGACAAAGATCATCTGTAGCAATAATGACAGTAATAATAATATCTGTAAATGAACGGGTGTGAGGTCATTTAAAAGTGGAATTCAACAAACAATGGGATGAAGTAGTAATTAAATAAAGTCTGGAAACAGATAGAACGATCGTGTCATAACCGTAAAAGTTGTGAAGAGTTTATATAAGTTTCAGACCACTTGAAAATGGATATAATATACATTTATTTGTGAGTTGGTAATTGTCTAGAATTAGAAACTAACAAGATTGGCTGTGTAATAATTAAACCAAACCTTAAGCGTTTACACAAGTTTAGAGAATTGAGTGAATGGAAGGATGACTTCGGGGTACATAAAATGAGAATTGGTTTATCGAAAACCACAATGAAATAAACTAATAATAATAGTAACAAAAATAATAATTGCAGGTGGTATTAATCAAGCTATGAAATTACAAAGGTGGTAATAATCTGATTACTGTCTCTTTATAAATACAAATCTGGTTTGCGTTTTTTAGTTGCTACTGAAGAGGCATTTCGTTTCTTGTCTGCTATTAGTTTTGAAGGATTGGGGAACGTCAATGGTATACCAGGTATCAATTCAATTCAGAGCTACTCACTATTTAAAACCACTGAACCTTTCACTCTCAGACTCTATAAAACGTGCTCGGAAATGCAAATATATACTCTCCTCTCTATCCCCCCAATGTATGCTCCTTGCTACCTGCGTATAAATTGGCAAATGCAGTTGTAGTTACTGAGAAAAAAGGACTTGTCAGTTTTTGTTCGTTTAATTGAGCAGTTCGTCCCACATAACGTCGTCAGTCATGCTGTTGGATTAGCAGTATTCCTCATGGCACTCACCCTGTGGTTGATCATTACAGCAGTTTCATTACCTTTAAAGTGCATATATAAGAATCAGGTTTTCTCTTCTATATCGTGTTTATCACGTACGTTGGGTTTGGCATACTTCTCGATGAATTTCGGTGCGTATGCATTTTCATGCAGACAAGTGTAATAAAGGCGGGTTCCTCTTCTTAGATTTCCTTTGAGTAAAGTTTACGTAGCCCTGTAATTTCTAATTCTAGACAATTACCAACTCACAAATAAATGTATATTATATCCATTTTCAAGTGGTCTGAAACTTATATAAACTCTTCACAACTTTTACGGTTATGACACGATCGTTCTATCTGTTTCCAGACTTTATTTAATTACTACTTCATCCCATTGTTTGTTGAATTCCACTTTTAAATGACCTCACACCCGTTCATTTACAGATATTATTATTACTGTCATTATTGCTACAGATGATCTTTGTCGTTCCAGTTCCATCCGTCGTTAATGTCAATTGTTTCACCTAAATCATACCTTAAAGCTACACTTCAATATATATCAATGGCTGTAAGCAGCTGATGAGAAATCAAGAATATTTAATCCATATAATTATGCCTTAATTGCTGTTTTTCGCTCTATAAAACGACAATAAAGTGAAATTAAGATCAAAATTTGAAACTTCAACTTACACCATTATTTTTAATCAAGGTTTCAAGGAACATTATTAGTAAGCCAGCAGATCCCCAATCGATAGGTAGCCGATCTTGAATCTCCGTAAGCTTTTCATGTAAGAAAGCAAGTACATCAGCTTTTAGGGTACCTACACGATTTAACGGCCCTGGATAAAACTGATGCTCCGCTTGGTTCCAGCATGCAGTGGCCATGACACAGGCACGTATTTCCTCGCCATCGTCTTCAGCACCTCCAGCGTCAATACTAGAGAGTCGACTTGGAGTTTGCATTCCAGAATCAGTCATATTAAAAAGAGCATTTTGTTCGGATGGTTGTTGCTGTTGGCTAAATTCAGAGTCGCAAGTGCGTGTAGTGTTGTCTGATGCTCTTCTCGTTGCATCAGCCACAGCTTCATTGACAAGTTCAAACAGGTTAATTATTTCAACTCTGGCAAATTCTCCATTCCTTGGCCTTGAAGGTAAAACCTAAAAAAGGTATGATTTAGTTAGTTCATTTTTTAGCTAAATATATGATAACTAACTTGAACAATAACTCCAGGACAACTAATCCAAGCTTTTACATGTGGAGTATTGTAAAAACGTGGAGTTTCGGGAATACAAGTTCCAAAAAATTGATATGGATAACCACCAGACCATAATTGTGCAGCTGCAGCGTAATATTGATAGTAGTAGTTTGCATAGTCGAACGATCCTATTTGATTTACAGATGGTATTTGAAATCCTTCAGGTCCATTTTTTATAGTAGGATTAAGTGGGTGACTTGCGGGTGCTTTCGATGATTTATTCATAGAAAGGTGAGAGGTGGATTGTTGAGGTAGCACCGGTGGCTGAGCCATTTGATACGGTGAATAAAATTGGTTGTAGTACTGTGACATCATTTGATACCAGTGGGCATAAGGATTGGATTCTGTTTGTAAAATAAAGAGGTGTTGGCGGAAATGAAACCGTAACATTTGGTTGTTATAAGATAATACAGACTAACAGATACTTAGACATTTTTCAGGTTATAAACAGAGAAGCTAACATATCGAGATGATACCTGAGTTGTGGTATTGGATAGGAGTCCATTTAAAATATTAACGAAGCAATGGCTTGTTGGTTGAAGTTTCCATCTTTCAATCAATCGGTTAAAGGTCTGAGTGTTGAGGGACGGGGTAGTGTTACTAGTCCTCACTGTGGTTCTAAGACGGATATGTAAACCTGTACTTACATAAGTTATATTAAATCAAAACAAGAAATACCTAAAACGCGATTAAAACAGGCTAAAGTGTATGTATGTATCAGCACAGCTTTTACTAATAAATGGTAGTTAACGGAGTAACCTGGTGAATAAGATTTCATGAGAGATTATTACCTGAATATGTACTTAATATACAAATTGTGACGCCTTATGAATTTTAAGAAACCGTTTCACAGCTTAATCACCAGTTACTTTCACATATGGGAAGTATGGAACCTAGCATGATGAATTAGGAAAGCACTGATTTATTTGACACTAAGTATATCGCGTGTTTATGGGAGTAAGCCAGTAGTTTTTAAAGTTTAAACCAACCGAAAAAATTGAGGAATTTGTCTTTAGTATATGGACTTAGAAATTTACGGAGTTTTGAAAGACAATATGTAGTTAAATCGCAGAAATCAGCAACAATGCATAAACGTAAAAATCATAAACCAGTCAAAAATTACAACTTACGTTGCAAATTCTTGCTAGAAGATTCGGTGGACACTTCTTGGTGGGGTTTTTTGGGTCTAGATTTGGAATGAACTTTCTGAGTACTTCTACTAGATGTAAGCGTTTGCTGAGGTAGCTTGGGTCGATGAGCCGAATGACTGACTTTTCCTATTTTCGGAAGTACTGTATTGTCGGTTTTCGATGATCCTGTTCCCTTAAGTGCATTATCAACGCTATTGACCAAAAGCTCTGGTTTGCAGCTAGAACTGGGTGAACTATTTACAATATTCTGGTTATTTCTCCTATTGTTTTCTTCAATAATTATTGAAGAATTAACGGGAAAATCTGTAGGCTCCTCAGACTTAACACCTAGTTCGGGTCGAGAATTGGAGGCAGGAAATGTACTTATAGATGATTGTCCGGTATCTTGGTTTGGGCTAAAGTTTGGTGAACTACTGAAGGGATTATGATCATAACCGAAATAGGGACTTTGGATTTGATCCTGATTTACAGGGTACCCTCCACAATACATCATTTGAGGGGGAATCATTACCTGAGGTGTTCCATCTCTGTCTCTGCTACTAAATGAGTGAAATGTTTCGCAAATACCTTAATTTTTGTCCCTGTTCCATTATTCGTGACGTCGACAGCTTCAAAACCAGCACTTCTATCTCAGTGTTCAATGTTAGTCCTGGTAAACCAAGGTCAGTGTGCCATGCGGAAGGTCGCATAACATCGACGTACTATGATGCTGAAGTCCTATATAGGGAATTTATGAGGTAATTAACAATATAAGAGCTAATGAAATAGAATATCGATGTGACAATTCAACTTATATTCCCGAACTTAAGTTACAGAGAAAGAATGTATCTGAATGAATCTGAAGTAAATCCAACGTTAATACTTTGTAGCCATGTCTCACTGATATTTCTCATGCTTCAGAAGCTTTCATACTTACCTTTCTTTTCACTGTTCTTCAGCGGTTTGGTCTGCACTGACCGGGTTAGTTGAAGCAACGCGATCTCTGATAGTTGAAATATCGGTCAAACCACTTAACGATAGCTTCTTCATGTTTCGGGATACTTGGAAAATACGTTTCAGTGAGTGGAGCCTACCAGCCATCATAATCTTGATGGATTCGACCATTATTTGCGAGTCGTAAACAGATAGCTAATCCTAGATAACAGACGATTGTTACCACCTCAAATCTATGAAAATCCGGAGAGACCAAAACTTGTCAGGACCAAGTATATTAAGATCTAGTTTAAACTAGTCATTTAGCCAGCGGAACTAGTAGTATAATAAAATATGATAGACATGGACCACTGAAGTGTAAAGCCTTGTGTAGGAAGTTCAGTCGAGTAAGCCCCGCCAGACATAGTGGCCATTTAGATACATCGGTTCTGGGCAAAGGTATCGATTTCCCAAGTGCAGGTGGCTCTTGTTTATTTGATCAAACAGACTAGTTGAGCAAAGTAAGCAAACTGAATTATCTCCAGTTGGCGTGTAACAAAAGAAACATGACCATGCTAATCGCGAACTGTTGATATCGATTATTCCTTGATCAGGCTAACAGGAACATCAGTTAACATGAGGTTGCGCTGTTTGTAGATTCCCTCGGTTAGAACATCTGGCACATACCTGAAGCACTTTCTGTTTTACTTAATCTTCATAATGACATGTAAAACTTCAGAATCGCAAGTTCTATGGTTGGAGTTGTCTAAAGAAGGCCTACTGATGATATTTAATACGGGAATCAGGCTCCGGAAGGATGGGGTTATTATCTTAAACCTGCAAAGACTCATAATTTTAAAACGCATGAGACATTCGTACATCGCCAATAATGGTTTTGGAATCGGTTCCAGCTCTCATAGATTAGATTACTATGTGGTGCTCTATGATTAATTTATATATTTATTTCCCATAACGATTAGCAGAAGTGAAATTATGGGGTATTATTTATGGTACTAGACCAATAGTGCCACCGGGCTATAAAGCCACTTTGTTATTCGGGAATATTTGCACGATCGAACCAGGCAAAGAAAACGTGTCCCTGACAAAAACAACCATAACTTTGTGTTTTGACAGCTTAAAAATTCAATTTCTCGACCCTAGATAATCTATTAGGATTAATCATAAAACGACGAGGCCAAGTAGAATGAAGACTAATGTCGTATTCTCCACTCAAGCACAAAACCGCAGTGGATTTATGAATATAGTGGAAATATAATAAAACAAACGTCATGCTGAACAAAATAAAAGTGTACCATCTTCAATGAGCGATGTTCGGTGTGATGCTTAAAAATGGCTTATTCCTGAATAAGCTGTCTGGAAGTCTAGTATCTTCAACATTTTGTGATTATTTGACCTGTCGATGATAACATTTCATGAAGCTATTGTAAGTACCCTTTACGGTCAAGTTTTAATTCGTTTGCGTTAGGATAACGAGATATTGATGTTACTATGGTGGTTTATAACGCATCAACAATTGGTTTCGGCACCGTATGGTGTTTTGGAATTTCCAACGTTAGAAACTATAATTCACTGAACATGAGGACGGTGGTAGGTATAAATTTGTTGGAGCTTGGTACTAAGTCTCATAAAAGAACTAGGATTCCTCGAAAATGTGAGGTCAGGAGCTCGACAGCGAAATAAATAGGCACGTTCAGGTCATACCTCTGCTTTCGAAGAATTTCCAGCAACTAATCTCTTTAGGTAAAACTGATCATAATAATACAAACGTCCATCTTATTCATGTAACTTCAACAGATCAATCTATGGATAAACAGTGGGGCCAAGACAACCCCTTAGTGGTGACGACACCAAAAGTACTTTTGGACAGGTATGCTGGGAAATATAAATTGAGTCGGACGTATTGCAGTGGTATTGGTCATAACCACACAATTCTCATACCCGAACATGAGATAACTGGGAAAATAGATGTACAACACTCAACTCAGAGAGAAGGCCAACAATGGAGAACGCGGGAACAATTCATTCAGTCGGATGGCATGGCTCAGCCTCGTAGACATGGTCATTCTGTATAACTTGTCTTTACTCACACTTAATATATTATTCTATATTTAGCCAGACGTTATACCGCTGATTCTTACCATACGACCAGTCGGGGTAAACAGTGATGGGACTGCTGCACAAGATCTCATCGGTAATTCTGACAGGGTATTGTGTCACGTGTTGTCAGTCAGCCAATTCTAAAGACAGTCCTTGAAACGTTCAAGTAATGTAAGGTTCTACGCGGGTGCATACTTATATTCCCGAAAGTTGAACAGTTCTATTTGGCGAAGTACAAAAGAATCACAAACTTTGCTATAAGGGTGCAAAGCGTTAAATACTCGGCTATTACAATAAAGTTATGCTGCCTAAGGAAATGAGAATATACTAAATAAATTCTGAAAGTCTAAGTATTTTATTAAAATCACAATACATGATAAATCCGCCTGCAACATACACAAATGGAAAAGCAAGATTCTCCGATACAACACAGCATGCAACAATCGAATCACACTTGGCGGAGAAGATTTGGAAGATGTAAAAACCTTTACATATCCGGGCAGCATCATTGATGAACACAGTGGATCTGATGCAGATGTGAAAGCGTGGATTGGCAAAGCAAGAGCAGCATATCTACGATTGAAGAACATCTGGAACCCAAATAAACTGTCTGTCAACCAACACCGATGTCAGAGTTTTCAATACAAATGTCAAGGCAGTTCTACTGTATGGGGCGGGAACCTGGAGAACTACGAAAGCCATCATACAGAAGATACTGGTGTTCACTAACAATTGTCTGCGCAAAACACTTCGGATCCGTTGGTCAGACACTATCAGCAACAACCAACTGTGGGAAAGAACAAACCAGATCCTAGCGGAGGAAAAAATTAGGAAGAAACACTAGAAGTGGATAGGACACATATTGAAGAAAGCATCCAACTGCGTCATAAGACAAGCCCTCACATGGAATCCTCAAGGTCAAAAGAAAAGAGGAAGACCAAAGAACACATTGCGCTTGGAAATGGAGATAAACATGAGAAAAAAGAACAAGGATTGGATGGAACTAGAAAAGAAGGCCCGTGACAGAGTGGGTTGGAGAATGCTGGTCGGCGGCCTATGCTTCATTAGGATTAAGAGGCGTTAGTAAGTAACTACTATTGATGTTATAGTTACAAATTTCTACTTTAGTAGCTTAGCTTCGTTAGTCAAATGCCATGATAACGGTTACTATATGAGTACCAACGGTGTTCGAAATCAGAAGGCAATAAGAAGCGGCGACCACAGTTTATCATCGGATAACACAGGTCACAAATCTACAAGCACATCGGGCGGATTTGCAGCAGAGAATTGAATGTGTGTGAGCGAGCGAATACAGAAGCGATTTTATAGTCAAACCGAATCAAGGCACAGATAGGCAAGGCAAAGGCTAATAATAAGCTTCAAGTTCATATATACATGGGAAGGGAGAATAACTAATCGAGCCATATTTGGGCTGTTAACTTTTTGACTATATAGAGATATGAGCGTAGGGGTCATAATAGTACAAAGAAATAGGTGAATTGTTACTGTGCGAATAACATCTTCTGTTAAGTATGTGAATAAAAAGGCTTAACAAGAATTAACCGTGATCTAAATGAATTGTAGGAGAGTTGCTGTATTACCATTCAAGTTGATAGTTTCCCTGTGGTATTCCAGAAGGCTATAAATCAAGTTAATAACGGTTTTGATAGTGTTTAATCGTTTCTGGATAATTTCTTAGTATATATTCAAAGTAGTGGGTTGCGTAAGGAATACCTTTTAAAGTTAGTTAAATGCTTTTATGATACAAATGTATCCGTAGATCCATCAAAGTGTCAGTTTTAACATGATTATGCCAACTGCCCTTGCTATACAGTAAATTCCAAAGCTTTTGAATCCTATAAGTGATACCTATCTCCATTGATTCAAGCACTAACGCCTGCAAACATCTCAGCACTACGATCATCTTTTAGTGCTCTTCAAATTTTTCCAGATTTGTCCCCAACTTACACAGACATTATCTTCACTTTTCAATCTGGTTTTGTTGTGTCTTGTTATTAGGTTTCAGTACGACCTACAATGTTATGGATTTAGGGATAGAAACAATTGAGCCCCTCTGATGCTATTGGTTCTCTTCCTAACTGACAACAATCAACACATCAAACATCAACGTCTAAGACAGGAAGAATACGGAATTGCAGGTAACTTGATATATGTGGTAGAACAAGCAAGTCAAACGAAATTGCTTCAAATGTTGTTACTATAGTAGCAGAATATGACCTTCGAGCATGTGGCAATTTAGTGGAGTGAAAAAACATGACAACCAGTCAGAGGGCACATGCCATGAGGAAAATAGAATGGTGAGCATGTGTGCAGACTATTATCGTTCCTGAAAAGATCTTAGCCCTTCTAATAAAATCTAACTATTCCTGCGGCCGCCTTAACAGGTTAACAATAGAGTTTCTATAGGAATAAAGGCTTAAGGATGTACTAAGTTAAATTCTA